CCACACCATGGAAATCCCCATGCATGAAACGAAGCCCAGAGAAGGCCCTGGAGCTGTCCCTGCACAGCAGTACATAGGTGCAGCCTATGGCATTCTTGTCCACTGCATCATCCAGAGTCCTCTGCTACCAGCCTGCACTGGCCAAGGACAGAGGGGAGCGCTGCCATTTAACACAGAGTAAAAATGTTTGGAAATAGAAGTGTCACACAGATCACATTCTCTCTCTGACTCATCCTGAAGTGAATCAGCAGTACGTGGCATTTTACAAGTCAGGTCCCAATCATCTTGGTTCACATTAAGCTACTGAATCCTTTTTGTTCAGGTGTCAGTAACTGCACAAGTTCCACGACTAAGTGCTCCTGTGCTTGCCTTCCTGAGACCCACGGGGACTCCTTGATTTATTCAGTTCACAAATGCAATAGAAAAAGGAAAGGAAGGAAGAGAAAATTCTACCTTTTAGGTTTAGTTTCTCAATGGGTTCTCCCAGTGCGGATTCCTTGTTTTTAAAATAAGACACTGAAGTGTCCTTAAAGACAAACCAGTATGACTTGATAGTTTTGAGTGACAGCTTCTTGGGCCTAAAAGAAAAAAAGAAAATCCATTTGTCTATATTGAATTGTACAAATTGCTAAGTAAGTCACTCACAAATGTGACTGTGGATCTCAGACTGCTTTGAGGCTTCGCACGTGCCTTCCCTTGGGGTACTCACACTCGTGTCAATGAGGAGGGTGGCAAATGCCTGGAACCAACACCACACCCAAGCTATCCCGGGTATGGATGTGGTTTTTACCTGGCTGAATCCCATCTGTGATTTCTCTTGGGGTTTTTTGTTTTGTTTTGTTTTTTACCCCAGATTCTAGCTGAATTCCATCTATTATTTCTCTCAGGTTTTTTTTCTTTCTCTTCTATGTTGTTTTTCTTACTTTTTTTTCCCCTCCATTCCTAATCAAAGCCATTCCCTTCTAACAAAGACTGATGCTATGCTGGTTTTCACATGAGCTCAGTAATGCTAATGTATCTCACTAGTTCGTTCACATGTGCTGGAATTAGCTTCAGTTTTTCACACCTCCTTCTCTAGAAGATCTACACCCATAAAACTTGTATTCATTAAATTGTAAGGGAGTAGAGTCCATCTAACACACCAAAATTCTGTTCCTTCGCTGAGTTTATAGAGGTTCTGTAGCACTCCAAGAAAAGGTAATAGTTGAAACCATTTTCTTCCACTAGAGGAGTGTTATTCCAGCTCCTCACACATGTAGATAGATGGATATAATCCTAATTTTAATTATTTTATTTAATTTCAGTACTTTTGGAATTGAGAATTAACTGACAGATACTAATAGTCAAACATGATTGTTGTGCCAACCCCACCTCTCCTCTCTAAGAGATAAAAATTGTAATTAAATCTACTAAGAACACACTAACAAAGCAACGAGGGATGTGGGGGGGAAATCTTGGATTCAGTATATTTCAGGAGACAAAACCAGAGGTATTAGCACTATTTTTGTAGAGAAATACTTCACAACTAACTACAAAGGTCATTGATGAAGTTCAATAAAAACATAATAATAATAATAATAATAGAAAAATCCACTGTCTATTTAGTAATTTCCTTTAAATCTATGACAGTACAAAGATTATACAGCTACCTGTAAAACAGTGATTTATTATACCCCCTCTTGCTTTCTCCACAGCATTTCCAGAAATCCTAATTTAGAATCCTTTCTAGAAAGTGGAGATTTTAATGTTTAAATTAAAAAAAAAACAAAACAGTTAAATTTTCAAAACTGCTAAATAGTTTGGCTTTTAATTATTGCATGCAGACAAAAAATCTTAAAAAATAAGTGACTGTAAATTTTTTTTAGACTAAAAAAAATTATTTTTCTATCTCAAAAAATTGCTGGAAACTTTTTTGAATGCTTTTTTTTAAAAAAAATATTGTAATTCTCCACAGTATTATCTCCCACATGGAAGTAGTATTTCATAGTGTGCTAATGTGGTGCATACTGTGAATAAAAGTTCCCTATATGAATAGAGTCAGCAGCATGACATGCAGAATTTTGCATTAAGGTTTACAATTAGGCAAATAATTATAGTAACAAAAGGTCGTTGTTCTTTTAAAGAAATTTTTACACCTTCTGTAGTTTCTGCAATGCCTTAGGTTTAGAAAGTGATTCATGTCTATAGGAAATTTTTCATGATGCAAAATAACTGCTGAACGCTTTTAAAAGCAAACTGCTGTACTGCTGGGGAAAAATAAACAGTCCATTGTTAGAGGCAAGTAACTGACAGAACTTAAAAGGCTTTAATTCCCTTTCATCTTAATCCACCTTAGTTATTCGAATGTCAAATAAAATTCCTAATTGGAAATTAATAATTAACAATTCTTAACAGTTAACAACAGTTAAAAATCTTCAGGTGCAGTTTTCAGTTCACTGACTACAAATATGATTTGTTAACAGAATGAATGTGATAAATGTTTGTGCAATAGAAATCTTTATCTTTCTAAAACTCGAAGACTGTTTTGTGATAAAAAGCAGTACAGTTGAGGCCACTGCAGTCAGTTAAATAATCCGTAAATCAAGATTTTATCGTGGGATCACAGAAACTCATTTTGATATTAGAAAAAAAAGAGACTCCATGTTTGGCTAGAAAGGGGTAATTTGTTTGTTTCTTTTGTTTTAAAAAAATAAATAAATCCCCAGGGTCGCTTTCAGAAATTCTTCTCATGCAGAGCTGAAAGTTTTTTCTAGTTTTCATAGCAAAACCCAGTAAAATGTGATTGAAAACAAAAACTGGAGACTGTCTTGTTTAGAGATGATGAGTGATGGAAATAGAAATAGGAAATAGAAAGAGTCTGTTTTTTTATTAAGCGTAAGGATAGCTTCCCCAGCACCCCAAAAGCTAGAAAGATTTGCTAAGGATCTTGCTCAGAAGCAGTAAAAGAAAGATTTAAAGAGGACAGCATTAGGCTAGTTAGACCTATCTTGTGTATTTGTTGATTTATAACCATAGGATCTACCATTATATTGGAATGAAAAACTCAAGAGATCTCCATATGGTTAAGCTTTTTGTTTTCTATGTTTTATTATTAGTTTTAATAACTCACCTAACTAGCCTGAGATTATCAGCAAGTTTCGGGATGTCTGTGATGTCCTCCTATCAGGAATAATTAGGAATAATTTTAGTAAAATGCACTTTGTAATCATCTGTTGACTCTGTTAAAAAATCAGGAACCAGGTTGGCTCATCAGAGTCAGTGTCTTTGACACAGTGAAAGCAGTTCTGGGATCAGAAAGGACATACCAAAATGTTACTTGCGTTTCCACCTTCCAGTGTCACTTCCAGATTAGAAAGTGCAGCTTCTACTTCATCTACTTCTGACTCACAGGGGAAATCTTGTGCCTCTGATGATAACGATAACTTGCTTATATGATACTAAAATAAAACATCAAATATCAAATGGTTAATATATCGATCAGCGATGCACAATCACAGCGTCTGAAAACGGGTCTTCTGGGTCTTGCACAACTGCGTAAAGTTCCGCAGTGCAGAACCACGGGTTTCTTCACAAGGCAACAGGTACATCCACTGTGATCTCCAGTGCAATTACTGCTAACAGTTTCCTGTTTTAATTGCCAGTGTTTGGATTCCCTCAGTGTGTAATCATCCCTGCTCTGGAAGGCCGACTCAGTGCTAACGTTTTACTGTCAGTGGCGAGTGCCATCCATGCCAGGTGGAAACTTGGCAGCAAGATTCTGTGGTGTTCCACAGCGGCAGGCTGTGAATTTTTTGGCAGCTCTGTTTACGTTTAAGAGGAAGGAATTTATTATTAATAAACATTTGTTCCTTATTACTTACAGTTAGGGACTAAGCCACGCTAGGTTATGTTAAATTTATACGTACTCCGTCGCGTCCCTAAAGCTGTAGCTTTTTTCCCGTCTGTTGTGAACGTGTGCACTGATGTATTAGAGAAATTTTGAGGAAGAATATGTGAAAGAGTGGTAGCTGGTATGTGAAGCAACATGTCGTAGTAAACCCCTTCAGAATAGATGGGTATCGAAGCTACATCCTGGCTATGGTTTGCTTCAGACAACGTTAGTGAATGGTTCCATAACTGAGTGTGTCAGTTTGAATAATGGTCTGCTGCTACTGAATTTAGTCGGTTTAGTTGATGAATGCTGCTTATTGTTTCTCAAACAGCAGACCCCCAATCCAAGCAGAGCTGTTGGCCTGGGCTCTCTCCTAGTCTTGTCCTAGCTTGTACCTGCCTCTTGAGGAAACAGGTTTTGCAACCTGGATCAAGTACGTGCCTGTAACGCAGCGAAGATCAGCATTTCTTCCTCTGTGCAGTCAATTTCTTCCAACAGGATGGCCCAGCGGGCTTGTTCATAGATTTGGTTTATTCGCACTGCATCATACTGTAGCAAAAAAGAACAACAATCGTCATTAATGACCATCAAGGTACAGATTCACTATCAGCTGCAGCTGATCTAACACTGGGCTGAAGCCATGAAGGTTGTTTCCTTCCTCCCCCCCCTCTCTCCTGCTGTATGTTCCCATCCTTCTCTCACACTAGCTCATGTGATTGTGTGTAGGGTCGCAGTGGCTTGCTGATCCAACAGAAAATTAATCAGGAGTCCTTGGCTGAAGCAGAAGGGGAGATCAAGACATCCTCTTTTGTGGTAGTAGGCCTTGGACAGGCTTAACCAAAATGTGAAACCACACTATTAGAGTGAAAATATCATGACACAGCTGATAAGAATGTGACATTCAACAGCTTGCTACTGCCAAAAGACAGAAACTCTTATTCCTCACTTCCCCTCTTCTGCTCTTGGCTTTTTTGGTTCTGATCTTTGCACTGACTTGACATTGTCAGATCCTGCTGTGAACTGCTTTAATTCACTATCCATTTTTTCGATGGTGATTATTTCTTATCATCTGCTTGGTTAATAAGGCTGAAGTGACTCACAGAAATATTCAAGCCCTGGAGCTGGTGAAAGGTAGGTGATGGGAGGGTAAACCTTGGAGCGTGACCTCTCCCAGTAGTGGCAAGCTAGTAAGTAGCCTGAAGCTGTTTTGGGTTATTTCATCCTATGGCTCCATGGCTGGCTCGGCCAAAGGGAAATGTTTGGGCTACTGATGTTGAAACACATACTTGAATTTTAGTGGGGATGACATCTCACCCAAAAACATGCCACCTGAACTAGAAAGTGCCCTTCTGTTTATCTGAGATGCCTGAAATTAGAGTTTTTGTCCTAGTTTTTAGCTGGAACAGAGCTGGGTTTCTTTTTCAGTAGCTAGACTAGTGCTGTGTTCTGCTTTCAGCTGGGATTTGTTATGAGAGACACTGACAACATCCCAGTGTTTGCATTTGTGTCGCTGGAAGTGAAGGACTTTGTGTTCTGTCTACAAGCACAAGACCTAAGGGGGTGAGGAATATTTAAATTAATAAGTTAAACTGGCATTTGGATATGCCAGTGGGATATTCTATATCATATCACGTCATGGCCAGTATATTAGTGAGGGTCTCTCCCTCTCTTGCTCTCTCTGGCTTTCGCTCGGGCTCTGGCTCTCCCGGGATTGCGGTTTCGGTTCGGGATTGTCGCTCCTCCGGGATTGTTATCTGGGAACGGGCCGGGCTTGGTCAGGAATGGGGTGAACTGTCACATTGGGTGTCATTCACTTGCATATTTTGCTACTGTTATTATTATCTTTACTATTTTAATATTATTAATAGTATTATTTTAAGTTTTCTCTCTATTATTAAACTGTTCTTATCTCACCCTACAAGCCTCCTTAGCCTTGCCCCCCAATCCTCTCCCCCGTCCCCTGGGGCAGGGCAGATGAGCGAACGGCTGTGTTGGCTGCTGGCCAGGGAAACCACCACAGTTTTACAGAATTTACAGAAAATAACAATGTGAGGGCCAAATCCTCTAAAATTCACATTTGAACTCTTGTTGATTTACACTGGTCAATGATCGTGCTTTAATGTCACTAAATGTATCACCCAAACCTTAAAAACACCGGCTTAACACAACCACCGTGACTGACTTTTAGTGCAAATAAAGGCAAATGAGAAGCAACTTGAAAAAGACATTTAAGTGATTTTTGGAGACTAAGTCTTGTTTTCAAATGGGACTTAAACACTATTGCTGAACTTTCCAAAGGTATTTAATCTCCCAGTTACATTGAAATAAATTTAAGTGCTTGAGTGCTTCAGCCCAGAAAAGCAGAATATTCCCTGAAGGACAGTGGAATGCAAATGTCATTTTTAAGTCCATTTTAAAAAAATAGGGCTTATACCTTTACATCATTTAGGATACTATTGGTTTAGTTTTCCCCTTAGTTTTTCTCATTTAAAGAGAGGCAGAAAGTAAACCAGCCCCTCTGGAGATTTGGATACTGTTTCTGATGCTCTTCAGATCTCATCTTTATACTTAAGATCTTATTTCAGATGAGGAATGGTGATTCAGTGTCCAGAGGGGAAAAGTTCAGCTTTAGCTGAGGGGAAGAAGTTGAATTTGATCTCTGATGGGCCTGTAACAAATCCTACCTACAATCTGGTATCCTGGTGCTACGGCTCCTTGACATGAAAGCAAGCAAACAATGAATAGCAATAAAAACAAAACTCTTACTTTTGGATTCAAATCAAAGAAAGTGTAATATTTAAAGCGTAAAAGAAGTTGATCGTCCTCCAGAATGTCTTGTTCCATAAGTGATCGAGATGAATCTAACCAGCTGCAGAAGAAAAAAACCCACAGATTCATCTGTACAGGAAAAACTATCACACCTGCAGAGCTCCAATGTACTTGGGAAACAAAGGTGGGAACAAACACCTCTAATTCCTGCAAGCCTGGGGAAAATTCACATAACTGGAGAAAGTGGAACACTCATATGGATTTCCAACTTCCATTGTATAAACATGATACCTAAAATCTTCCTATTTTTACTCCAACACTACTCAAAACATCAAGAGTAGATGCCAGAAACTGAGCAGTAAGTAGTTGTGGGGCAACCTATGCCAATAAGATTCTTTCTTCTCCATCTCCAGAAAGGTGAGGTTCATTTAAGCCAGGGCAAAAGTGTCCCTGTATATTTAGAACTCCTGCTTTTCGTTTCAGTATTTGCTGGTTTATAATTGCAGCTACTTCTGTTCTCCAGTGAAATCCAATGAAAATATCAAAGTCACTGTTAAATGCTCCACAGATCTAAAAATGACTATCTGTATTTCACTCCTAGAGAGACAATCCTCTCCAACACCTGCACTGCTAAACCCTCTGGTGCTCTATATTCTTCTGTGGTGTACAATAAGCACTGTTTGCTTGTGCATAATTCAGCAAGTCACTTATTTGTAACGCATTAGAGCTTTACTGAATTTATCCACTGCCCATTTAAAGCCTTTAGAGTTTGCTATCCAAACTGTCTTCTAGTTGTGCCCACAGTGCTACTTACTTCACTGGATTTGTCTTCATCTAACAACGAAATTTAGTCCAGAGCCTGCACAATTACATCATTTATCACTTAAAACCAAAACTGTCTAACCAAGAATGCTGAATAAGGAAAAAAAAGAACAAAAAGAGTAAGTATTTCTGAAACAAAAAAGAAAACCCCACTAGAGCAAAGCACGCTTTTATGTATCAAAATAGCCACATATCAGGGGTTTGTTTTCAAATTCTGCTTTATGCTTTAAAAGCTGAATTAATGCTACCCTTGTTAAGCCAGCTAACGAGGATCTCACAGAGAGGCATCTTACCCTGCATTGAGTTTGGCTTTGTCAACTAAAGTCCGAGGCTGGTACATCTCTGCTAATGTTTCTGGAGAGCAGTTGGGATGACTGAACGCGAGGATGCTGCAGTTCTGCTCAGTCAAGGGACTGTCACTGAACCAAGTGATGGTAGAAGAAGCTGGTGTCCCACTGATGGGATCATAAATGGGTGTCATGGTTTTACTATATAAACCTGGACCTCCTGCAAGTTAAAAGAGGAATGTATTATTCCAGGGAAAACTACCTTCAGACTTAGGTAGTCTACCACTTTCCATCATAAAAGATTAACCCTTTTCTTTCAAGACAGTCTCCTATCTCTGCTGTTTACAGCAGGCCTTGTCCTTTCACAGTGACCGCAGGGACAGAAGTGCTCTTCCTTTTTCTGTGAACTATCTCAGTTGTGCCTTTATTTCTCCTTTTCCTTAGAGGTTGCCAAGATTGTTAAATATTTTAATAGTGGTCTCACATTTTCAAAGAGCAGCAGCACATCCTATATGCAGGGCCACAGCTGATCACTTGTTTTCTGATACAACCTTTCTTATATCAATGGAAAGGAAAACGTTTAAAAAACAACAGAAAAAATATTGATATACTGCAGTTTTCATTAACTTCTTGAAGTCACTAATTTCAGGTCAACTGTGTCTCTCTGACCACCAGCCTACATTAAACTGATCTCCCTGGTTTTAATCATGCAGCAAAGGATTTCTTCCTCTTTTTGACTTTCAGTCAGAAGAACAAAATCATACTGGTTTTTCATTACCTGATAATCCAGAACTCACTGGAGAGTTGCACAGGTTTAAAATATCTTCTGTAACTGGTTCTTTGCTGTTCTTGTCTTTTTTCTTTTTCTTTTTGAGTGCATCTTCTGATTGCTTCAACAAAGAGAGTTCTTCTGACCGTCTAATATCTACAATGGCAAATCAGGAAGTGAAGCAAGACGAAACATTTGAAATTTAGCAGCTTACAGCCAAAAAAGGCCTGTGGTTGATAATAGCATTTGGGGAAGCTCCATGTTGCAATCTGAATTTTATTTTTAGCAAGTTGAAAGCAGTAGCTGTAGAAAATCCACTAATTCAATAACAAGGCCAAAGACTTTGGGCTGCGAGAGTGAATTTTGACAGGATTTAAGCCGGCTTTTGTAGCAAGCATAACTGCATTTTAGAACACCAGGCAAAAACTCCTTCTCCCTAATGGCTCTGTGATCACCTTCGAGCATGATAACCTCAATGAAATGTCTGACTTACGAATAAGCAGTAACAGAAATGGAACCACTGTATTTGAAGTTCATGCCTTCTATTATTGACTTAGAAATTTTATATTTCACATACAAGATTCTGTCTTGTATGTGAAATATAAATGCACCACTGATTCAGACAAGTATTGTCAGTTGCAAACCTGGCACTTTGGTTCTGAAAAACCCTTTTATCCTGAGGTAAGCAAAGACATTTTTGACAGTATTCACTCATGAGAAAAGTTACAGGGTTCCTGTACTGACTCAATCTGGAAGAAAAATCTGGGTAGAAATGTTTTAATTCAGCCAAATGTCAGTTGAACAATTATGGCATCATTTTATCAGAGCTGTTAAATGTAATACAGACATACCATCCCTTTCACAATCCAGCACTAGAAGATGAAATTGAAAGCTACACTGAGGTCAATTAGAGGTTGTAAATTCTTTCTGGAGGTGAATGTGTTAGTGGCCTTTAATCTAAATTAAAGAATCTCTAAAACTAAGGGATTCTGAAGACTGTTTGCTGACTCAACTTATCGCTGTAGATCACAGGCACACAGGTCTGGCATGCTCCAAAACCTCATCTCTGCTTGGAGAGATTGTTGGAAAGAGCAGAGAGTTGGGGACTCAGTGGCTGCACCATGTTCATAGGCGTGTGTGGGGAAGTTGGGAATGCCCTGACCTGAATGGGTCTGGGCATGTAAAAGTTCTGAACATTTAAAACATGCTCCTTCTGAAATAAATCCATGTAACCAATAGGCCGAGTTGAATATCATTAATGCTAGTGAAAGTAGGTGATAAATCAGCTGACACCAGTAAAATTGCTGATAGGCTCAAGCTCTCAGTCAATGGCATAGAATAAGCAGGACTGAGTCCTGCTCAAAGAAGGACAAGGATTCCCACAAAACCATCAACAGGACTTTACGGCTATCCAGTACTCCTGCAGCTCATGGGACGCATTTCTGACACTGTTTGCATCAGTTATGACAAAGATTGAGAACCACTGGCATGTGCTGGATACTAAAACTCAAAACAAATCTGTCTTTAGATCTTGGGTCAACTCAGTCAAATTTTTCCTTGAGCTAAACAGTTTTATGAGTAAGGACTTCACATGAAAACAAAGTCACCTTATAAAATGCTCCAACTTAGCTGCCAGAGGGGATTTAGCTTTACTTACTGAGAATTTTGCAGATGTCACTGACAGCTTTGAATACCATAGAAGAGAAGCTGACTTTCAGTCTCACAGTCTTCATGTTTGGCAGGCGAAGCCGCAGCATTTTGTGCTGGGTAGTAAAGAACAGCTTAGCATCTGCCTGCACCCCGCATTTATCGAGGGTCCAGTGGGTCTTCAGAAGCCAACATTTTTTTTGCTCCCACCAAAGAGCATAGTCTGACCAATCTTGTGGTATTTCTAGGAATATATAAAATGGTTATTAATCAACTATGGAGCAAATATACTAAAACACTTGGTCTGGAAACAATGCTCTGCAAACAGGAGAATTTATTTACATGAAAGTAGCAGCTACAGTACCTGAGACCTAGACCCCATTTGCTGAATACTTGTGGCAGTCACTGGGAACTAACTTTGCTTTCCCTGAAGGGTTAACCTAGGTGCTGACTGTGGCACTGCCTTAATCTCGCAGATATCCATAGGGAAAGTGCATCTCCTGAATCTGGTGCTATATATGGCCCAATGCTACTTGGATTGTGCTGGGATATGGACTAATGACACTTGATAGCGCAAGATGAAAATCCTTGTGTGCACCCAGATGGGCACAAGTTCTTCCACCATCTCCTGGGAAGCACCACGGAACTGCTCATCTCTAGAGCGTTAAGAACCAGCAATGAGTCCCTTGAAGTCCTGGTGATGTACAGCTAAGGGCTGTTCTGAGCTCTTCACTGCGGCTGCATAGCTGGATGAACAAGGAGAGGACAACTTTACAGTGGCAACATTCTTTAAATAATCAAGGAAAAGAATTATGATTTTGGGAATAAGCCCTGTGACAATCAGGAAAGAGTTAACGAGCTTTCTAACAAATAAGATGAGCTTCTCTACCACATAGGGTGCAGAGTCTTGTAAGAGAAGTAGAAACTTGTAAGGGAGGTAGAATGGGCATGATGTGATATGGTAGGGTTAAATCTTGTATTAGTCTGTGCAGGAGGGCAGGCTGGTGTGACCAACCAGCGACTGACAAGGATTGCCTACAAAATCTTCTCAGAGAAGACAGGCCTGCCAAGAGATGACTGTCTTGTTTCACTAATATGGACTTGCCTGTGTTTTGCTTAAGCAAAAAATGTTTGTGTATTTTATACTTCGAAAACATACAGTTAAAGTAAGGCTTGCTGAAACAAGAACAGATAGAAGAGTTTGTTCCTGACTTGTATTAAGAGTTTTCGGGGCGGGAGAACCGTGGCTTTTGTCTGATTACTCCTGAGCAGTAAGCTCTCCTGACCTGAAAGGTGTCACAACCTTCACTAGATCAGCATGAGAACTGCATGCACAAGGAAAGAGATAAAGTGGTTTTGCTGTCAGTTCCGTGGGGAATTCCAAGATGAGTTGACTTCCCAGATGCCAAGGATGTAGTAGCAGGTAGAGTTTCTGTGTGATCTTGGTCAAGTTTTTTCAATCTTCTGCATCATTTCTTGTTCCTCCTCACCAGCTCCACCAGGTAAAGGCTATTCCTCAGCGTGCCCATAGCACAGTAGAGCCCTGTCCTATTTTGGAGTTTCTTGGTAAAAAATTGTGTCTCAAGAGAGCTGTTGACACAAATCACTTAGTTACAGATTTGCTTTAAATAGAATGTGTTGGGTTTGGG